CAGACCACTCATTGGGTTATCCCCAACAGATAATGTGATTGGACCAATGGCAGACCACTCATTGGGTTAATCCCAACAGATAATGTGATTGGACCGATGGCAGACCACTCATGGGTCATCTCTAACAGAGCAGACCACTCATTGGGTCATCCCTAACAGATAATGTNTAACAGAGCAGACCACTCATTGGGTCATCCCTAACAGATAATGTGATTGGACCGATGGCAGACCACTCATTGGGTTATCCCCAACAGATAATGTGATTGGACCGATGGCAGACCACTCATTGGGTTATCCCCAACAGATAATGTGATTGGACCGATGGCAGACCACTCATTGGGTTGTCTCTAATGGACAATCTGATTGGACCTCTGAGAACACTCAGAGTTTTAATTTCACAACTTAACCTTGGAAAATGTTTCACGAACTGTTTGGATTTGACATGAAGAAATGTAAGAACAGCTAAATGTTGTGCATTGTCAGTAAATGTTTTTGAGAAATAAACATTTCATTATGAAACATCATTTTGTCTTATGCTGAGTAATAAGCTAACAAGTATAAATCACCCATGTTTCGTTTACATGCAGGCTATGTCTGAGTCACTGGGAAGAAATAAAAACTGCCACAATTTTCACCAAAAATCACCAGAAACCATTTCAGTCTAACAGGACACAATGCAGTCCATGTCTTTTTATAAAGAAATTGTTTCATTCTTTAAATTCTGAAGGTCAGCTTCAAATACATCTCGACCAATCAGAGAAAAGCACACAAACACCACCAAGTCATCACTATGGTATCCAAGCCATCAGAACACAAAGGCAATGACACTCATCCAGGAAATGCACAATAAAAACACATTCATGACAAAAAGACAGTCCACCTATTTCATTTCTTATCGGTACAGAATCAAACTGATCTGGGAGTCAAAGACAATCTTCCAGGAATGGATGTCCTGGCAAATTGACCCTAAAGGTCAAACCGGGCATTGCTCAGAGAAAAGAGCTCCATCTCAGATTCCAATGGCCTCAGAAAGCAGGTTAAAGGCCAAAGATCATACATGATTTAGGTGTGAAAGGTTTCAGCTGATGGAACTACTAGATTTCAGGAATACTGGCCTCATATAAGAACCACTCGTATGCACAGCTTTGTTCTTAAGTTGTGTGTAGAGGTGATTTAGGAAAACTTGTGGCATTCATCAGTTATCTCGTATTCTAAGATTTTCTTCAGATATGAACAAAATTCAAATGTGAGGCCTGTGGTATATTTTACCAGCAGTCAGTCTGCTGTTATCCAGATGGGTTTTCTTCACTAATAACTTTATATTTCATTAGTTTGAAGATACTTTGAGTTGAAAATAAATCACACTCCATAATTATGTTGACAATAGGTTATTCTCTTTGAACTGAAATTAGATTTTAAATGTAACTAACAACATAAATTGGTTAGATTAAATTAAATTGGCTATTAATGCCGTTGTATAACACTACAATATTAATATGAAGATCTCAAACTAAAAACCAACCTAAATTATGCATTAATTAAAGTTTAATTTGTCTCGGTATATAATGAGCACATCGGTGTGGCTCTTCTGAATAAATAAAAAGTATTCAACACAGTTGTTAACACTTTTAAAAATATTTGACCAAAGGAAAACCGGAGCAGGTCTAGAGAGAGATGGTAGTTATTTCTGTGACTGTATACAGGAGACACGGCATTAACAGAACATTTCATTCCTCAGCTTTAGCAGCTCCTTTAATTCCACATCTGACGCTGCTAAAAATGACAGATTTTCTTTTCTGGATCTCAGAGCAGGATTCAATCTCTGAACACGTAAAGTTCTTCTTTTTACTTTTCGCTGTCATTTTCATGAACAAACACTTCCTGGTACATGGGGCAGGAAGCATAGCCTTATATGGTGTTTTTGAGGTGGTAATTATGCTAATCTCCTCTCCTCGTGTATCTGAATATGCTGCTCATTTCCACACTTCTCCTGAAGATAGAAGCCTTGCTGAATCTGACGTGGCATGTTGGTACGAACAAAAGTAAGAGAAATTTAGGATAAGAATATGAAACTGTTCTTGCATGAGGCCCAATGAGACCATAGGACATGTTTACCCAGAATRCACTGCAGCAAACAGCTCATGCCAGCTGTCAGGATGATGGTTTGCGCTTGTTTTTGTTTAAAATATAGAGTCGGTTTAGATTTTCTGTTGACTTGAGAGAAGCACTGAATCATTTTAAAACCTAGTAAAGACCAAATCATTTGTTATATCCTGAGAGACAGTGGACTTTCTTTCAAGCAGGACTGCACAGTAAGCACTGCATGATTCTGGTTGTGCTGTTGTTAATAAATCTTTTGAATCTGATCTTTGTGCTCTTTGACTTCAGGGTGTATACTGGATGAGTTGCCCTGGAAACTAACCATAGACATTGTCTCTCAGAGACAGACAGAAGCTGCGTTTCCATTGACCATGAAAATGCGCAAATTAGAATTTCGAAAATAAATTTGGTGTACATAGAATTTTGAAACACGTCAATTTCGAAAAAAAAAACCTACRTTTTTCGACAAAATGTTGTTGCACTAGGATGAGGTGGTTTTTCAGCCGTATCGAAATTGGTGTTTTTCACAAAACTGCAATGGAAACAGTTTTTTCACATCACAGGAGTCACGTGATCAACAACTGTCTGTTTCTACTGGTGAAAAAGACGATGATGAAGAAGACAACAGGAAGTAGAAGTAGTAGTAATATCACAGAAGTAGTATAAATAGTAAAC